CTTAAATTATGATAATTGATATCCAGTGCATGATGGGTAAATGTATTTTTCCCGTATAAAGTCCCACAAAGCAAAAGGAAAGAGATTAATAATCCTAAGAACGAAAACTAAGATTCAGAATTTTACTCTCATATAATAAAACTATACTTGTCAATTTTCCCGCCAATTTTACTGAAATTTTTTGAGATGCAATCTTAGATCTCAATTGTGGAGCTCAAAGCTAAGGTTTTCCTAAACCAGATAAACTTGGCATCAGGGTTGGATCTCCGAGAATCAAACAGGAAACAACAGAAAATCGACTTTCTAACACAAAAAATTTCAGATTCTAGGCTTCCCTTACTTAATCAATTTCAAAATTATCCTAAAACAATAAAATCCACCAAAAAACTGAGCCAAAACATAGCAATTTAGTCCGAGCTGAGCAAAAATTTCCACTAAAAGTTAAAATGATAAAAATGAAGAAGTAAATTCTAGAAAAATTGGGATTTCTTTTGCTGCAGGCAGTTTTCTCGGAAACCCAGCATCGAACGAAACCCTAAAGCTAGTAATGCGTTACCAATACACCATTTGCAATTCGAAATTTTGATAACCCTAAAATAAAGGAAAATTCAAAAAATAAAAGGGAAAAGGAAATTCACCTCTGGAGGAGAGTTTGCAGACCGATTGGAGCGCGTCTAGATTCTGAGAGATGGAGTGAGGGAGCAATTGAGCAGCAGCACTGCAAGTAAGAAAGGGAAGAAGAAGAAGAAAATTGGGGATACAGCCGAAGCCGCGAAACTTTAAAACACTGTTAGTAGAGAATTTTGTTGCTATTTTCATGTTTTGCCTTTGTCTCTGCGAATTTCTGCACGTGTCGTCATTTATTATTTTTTTTTTTAGGAATTTAATAAATTATTTTCAGTTCATAAAAAACGCTTTTGAAAACATCAACAAAGCTTTCTCACCATCACTATTAGGGGTGGGTTCAAAAAACCGAAAACTGAAAAAAATCGAAAACCAAACCGAACCGAAACTGAAAAAACCGAACCTAACGAAAAAACCGAACCGAATTAAAAAAATCGAACCGAATCAAATTTTTTTTGTTCGGTTCGGTTTTAGTGATCTAGAAACCGAACCAAACCGAATTAATTAAATTAATTTTTTTATTTAATTATTTGTTTTGGGTATTATTTTCTAAACCCAATTTGTAATTTAAAATGTGCTAAACCCAATGTGTTGCCAAACTTTAAGCTCAAAATATTAAAAAAAAGCCTATAAAAACTCTAAACCTTAACTTATTATTTCTCCTCCATATAAGGTTCCGGAACCAAACCTCCTCCTGAAGTACCTACATCCATCTCCATAGCACTGTCTACTTTTGCCCCAGCTTTCTTTTCCAAATCTACTCTCATATAACATGTAACAGAATCCATAAACATTTATTTCGGGTTGATTACTTGAGTAATTTGTGATGGAAAAGAATTCAACACACACTAAATAAATCCACCTACGCATTACTTTTACTAATCAAGTTGTCAACATACAGTTACAAGCAAACAACCTTGATCTTTGAACAACATCATACAATTTAACTTTTCTAAGTCATTTGTACGATTTTTGTGTTGTGAGGTTGTTAGTTTGGATTTTGGAAGACTTGATTGATGATTTTAGTTCAACTTTAAATGTTTATTGTCTTTGATTCTAGTTAAAATGTTTATGTTATGATTGTATTGGAGATGTTAAAATTTTAAATTTCAATGTTTTTCATTTTTTGAAAAAAAAAACAAAACAAAAAACCGAAACCGAACCAAAATCGAACCGGAAAAAGCCGAACCGAAAAAAAAACGAATAAAAAAAACCGAAAAAAAAATTGAACCAAACCGAACTGAACCAAAATTTCAGTTTGGTTTCGGTTTTGGCAAAAAACCGAACCGATTTAAACCGAACCCACCCCTAATCACTATGTGGAGTTGTATTAATTCTAGAACTCAATTGTCCGCGGTTGCATCAGTTTCAAGTATTTAATGTTTTTTCTAAGGTCTCTTTTTAAGTCTTTCGAAAAAAAATTCTACTTTTTTTGTCCTGAAATTCTGTCTCAAAATTGCATTTTTTTAATCAAAGCATGAGGTTAAAAATCAAGTGTTTTTTTTGTTTTTGAAAAAAAAAACACTTGTTATGTGATTGCGAGGCCAAAATCGCTTTTGAAGAAGCATATTCAAGCAGATTAGTGTCATTCAAGAACAATTAGAAAATGAGAACTAAAATTAAAAAATAGGCTGTGTGTCTGATTAAAGTTTGAATAAGAAAAATTTCTATGAAAATTAGATTAATTAAAGTATCGTGTTATCATGAACCGAAAAGTTAAAAAAGAAAAAGTCCCTGTACTACTAAAACTGCAAGATAAGATTTTTTTTTTTTTTTTTTTTTTTTTTTTGTGTGGAAACTGCAAGATAAGATTTTTGGCTAATTTACTTGGCCTAATTAATTCTCATTCTATCAAGATAAAATGTTTGAGTAGCTTGGAAAGCAAACAAATTTAATAATTTGACTGGAATCAATTCCATTGACTCGAGTGAATAGAAATACGAGAGAAAGTGGTATTTTCATTTCATCTAACCGAAGAGTCTCGTAGTTGATATAGTTAATTAAAAACATTCACTCTTGCATTTAAAGTACTAAATCCAAATCTTTTCTCGGCTAATATATTGCTTGCATTAGAAAAAGTTTTTTTGAGTGACAGATGTATTCAATTGAGATTTTGAGCGATTTTAAATCTTTTTATAAATTTGGGGTATTCAATTAGTATTTTAAGTGATTTTCTGAAATTCAACGTGTATTCAATCAAGATTTTAAGATAGTTTATTCAAATCCTGAGAATCCGGGCGCATTGAATTAGGGTTTTAAAGAAGTTTATAACATTTTAGGTGTCTTCAATTATAAATTTGTTTTAAAGAGTTTTAAAAAATTGAGGAATTTGAGGGAATTGAAGAGATTTGGTAGTGTATTTTAAGCATTCACATATCTCACATCTCCACCACCTGAGATTTCGAGGGCATTGGACTCCATCAATTAAACTCCATCAAAATCCATAGATTTATAAATCCAATAAAATCCATTAGAATCTCTGAATACACATCATATTAAGATTAAAGAATACAACACTGAAATTCAAAAACATAAAAATAAACAACCGCAATTTCAATCTCCACTCCACGAGAGATTTTTCAGTGTGACCAGCACATAAAGTGGTGTACCACATGTCACTATGCAAATGATGGGATATGTGTATTAAAAAGTTAATAACTTCAAAAATAAAATTTTTCACCACTTACATAAAAACATGTGGTGTACTGCTTGTATTCCCGTCATAATAAAAAAATTCTTCGACAAAGCTTTGAATTCTCTAATGTCTTCCTCTTTCTTTCTCTCGGCTATGTATATGCATTAGATCTGGAGAGTCGTTCCTCCTTTACATGTTTATGCCGCCTACTCCCTATTTATACTCCTCTTTTCCATATTTGGGCCTAACTACTTCACTATTTGGACTTAGTAGCACTGGCCCACTTTCGACTATTGGCACAAGCCCAACACAGCTCCCGTAATTCTCCTCGCCGGATCTTCGAGTCGTCACGTATTTTTATCGTAAAGTTCATGTTTTTATCACAATTATGTACTCGTTTGGAAGTGCTTTTAAAATGACTAAAAGCACTTTTGGTGAAATTGTTTTTGGAACTAATCTTTAGTAAAAAAGTAAGTGATCCTCAAAAAGCACTTAAAGTGCTTCCAATTATGTGTTTCTTGCATGAAACACTTAAAATCCCTATACAGCTATCACGATAAACCAACACAAACAGGAGTCTCATGGAAAACTGTCACAAAGATAGTGTAACGATCCGAAGATTTATATTCGGAAGCAAATACCAAGATAGGCCCAAAATTTATTTCAGAAGATAATCACCAAATTCCTTTTCTTAGACAATTTCCAAGAAAAGATTAAATCTTCGTTATTTTATTATGGCTGCATCTAACCTTGTTAGATTGCCTACATACCCTACGAAGGGATCAAGCCATTCGTAGTTCACAAATTCAATATCTAACTCATTTCTGAAAATCATTCAAGTGACTAACAATCACTAACTAGGTTCAAATAGGTGGATCATATAAAATGCATATCATTCAAGTGATTGGCCACGCGCCGCCGCGCGTAGCTGTTTTCGACGAACGAAAATCCAATTTTCTAACTCCAAAAATTACCAAATTTTACAGGGTTGTAGAACTCAACAAGGGGAAGAACTTTTATACCTGGGCCAAAGCCTAGTTCGGCCGGGAAGTGGCCATAAAATGCCTCGAACCGCCGGAACCCTCGGTTTGGGTAGTTGATGATTCGCCACCAAAACGCACTCCGCCACCTCATCCAAGGCTTGAGCCTTGCTTCTGGGGTTGAGAAGAGTCCTTTGGTGGTGGTCATCGACGACAATCGTTGTCGGATTCACCAAAAAAAGAACAAAGCCGCCGGGACACCTGTGAGTTTTGTGGCTTCGATTTGTGAATTTGGGTTTGAAACCTAGAATTCTAATACCACATGGATGTTGGGTTCGATGAGAGCTTTCCATAGACACCGGAATCACCTCAATTGGATGTCGGACGGAGGAGTTAGAGCCAAGTCAAGGAACCGGGTTGGATCGAGTTGTACGGATCCAAAAAGATCGAGTGCTCCCTCACCTCCCTCCTTTCTCTCCCTTATTCCCTTGCCCATTCGTCCTCTCCCCCTCATTTTCTCTCCCATATCCCTCATTTCCCTTCTCTCTCTTGCTGCCACCTGGCAGTTTCCACCCATTTTATTTATTTATTTCCAACAACAAAAACGTTTCTAATTTCTTAACTCTGTTTCATGAACGATTTTCGCCTACGCACTCATAGGATCGAACTCTATCCAGATATGTCAAGAAATACAATAAAATATACAAGGATAAAATATGTCCTCGTAAAATTACGTTTAGTCAACTAGGGGCATTTTCCACTTATCGATAAATTTTTCTATATTTTCATATATTTTAAATTTTCTAGGGCATTACAGATAGTAGATGCGACAGTCCTAAAACTGATACCCTGACATAAAGCTATCGACAACGAAACCACATAAATCGCATAACACAAACATATCACAACAACTACACAGAATCTACTAATCTAACCCTCTCAAAATGCTACAGAACAAATACTTAAAACTTAACTAAAGACGATGACGTGTCCACAAGGAAGACACGAGTACAAACGTAGTAGGAGGCGTGGGTTGCAGGACCACATAAGTGTGTGGGTAGCAAGGACAACAAAGGCTTGGTTGCAAATCCCATGATATGATATAGCCACCATGGACATCGTTGTCTCCACCACCAAGAGCCTAGAGTAACCTGCATAAAATCTTTAGCACTAAAAGCTGCCAAAGGTTTCCGCCTACTGGGAAAAAGATAAGATCTGTAAACACCAAGGCCACATGGATCGCAACATAGCAAATTGAAACAGTAATCCACATATTGAATCAACGATTTAGGCAAGTGTGCATCAAATTTCCAACGACAATGGCAAAGGTCATAATTAAGAGGCCATGTTCTTCACCGTAACAACGTTGTAGCCAGCCAGCACCACAAACCCAAAACTAAAGGATCGAGTTGAAACTTCCAAAGGATGTGCCTCAACATACCCAATCCAACCAATAGAAAGCCTCAATGGCTTCAGTTATGCAAATCAAACCACCTGCAACAGTAAGATGTGGATGTTTCAAACCAACATGCTTAATAATGTAGGACAAACAAAATTAGGCCGTTATCGATAAGAAGGATAATAGCCTGATTCCACCCAACTAGAGAGAGGTGTTGAGACGTGGATAGAGGAATAAGAAACGAGATAAAAGGAGGGGAATCAGCGAGAAGGGAAGAAAGGAGGGAAAATAGAAGGTTGAAGGTGAGGGAGGACTAAAAGAAAGGAGGAAAGGGGTTGCCGCTAGCCCCAAGCTTAAGCAAGGGGCAGATGGCTGTGAAGCTTCTAGATTTAGGGTTTTTTTTTTTTTTTAAGTCGGATGCAAATGACAACCCTTGGTAGAAAAAAAATTGAGAAAAATCAACCATGTTAGATGTAAAATGACACCAATGTTTGTGAAAATTATAAAGAAAACAAAATCAAAATACAAAAAGTTGGAGGCCTGTTGGTAATATACCATTCATCCAAACAACAAGAAGAAAATTAGATACTAAATAAATAAAATGAGAAGGAGAATTAAATCAACAATACCATTCAAACAACCTAACAATACTCAAAATGAGACTTTACATAAACTACATATAATACATAAATATGATTAAAAACTACTAAAGTTTTGTGCTATCTTACTGTTATCGTTTAGTAAACCAATGATTCGATGTAACGACTTTGATTCATAATCTGAACGAGAAGGATGCTTCGATGTTTCATAACTCTTTATAGAAAACAAGAAGAGGAACATCAAATATGAGATTTTGAATGATTGGCACCTCGAACATCATAACCAATTTATAGTACGAGTGTATGTACGCTCTCCTTCGAAGGTTCCCACTAAACTACATTACACGTGGCAGCCTTTGACTGGTTACTTCATGTGTCAAATGCACAATGATTGGTCACAAGGGCACATAGCCACGTCATACTTGCTGACTAGAAAAATGATAGGGCAAGAATTATACTATGTGTGTTTGTGTGAAATATGTCAAGAAATGACGCCGTAAATAGATGAACAACGATTTTTTCGTTAGTTAATTAGTAGAAAAAGATGAAAATTTTAAAAACTAGTAAGTCAATAATAGCGAACAAAAGGATGTACCATTAGCTAAGCTAATAAGTCAGTCACAATACCGTCTAACGTAGGGGTGGGCACGGTGCGGTTCTACCCTTAAACTGGAACTGAAATCGAAAAATATCAACGGTTCGGTTCGGTGCAGTTTCGTATAAATTTATTACTAGAACCGTACGGTTCAGTCTACACTGGTTCCAATTCAATTCTTGCCGGTTTAGAGTTCCAAATACTAAATTATTTGAACACCAAATCATTATGCATTTCACATACATCTTCTAAAACGATTTTATAAAGTTGCATACAACACAAATCCTTTTTAATGTAAATGTCCTTGGCAGTGGCACCAAGTTAACAAAAAGAGACAATTAAAAGAAATATGCATTGGTCAGTCAGTTAACAAAAAAAATCAAGAACTTAAGCAGCATCAGTCTCCTGATATTGGCAACAGCAGCAAGCAAAATCATTTGAGGGTGGGTGAGCCCTAATTGGGATGGATTCACTACTTTACAACTTTGTGAAACTAATTTTTTAACCTATTATACCATGACACGTGTGTATATATATAATTCATTCATTCATTCATTATTAATAAAATGGTTTGGTTTTGTTCCGACCGGTTCTTGTTCCTTCGAAACCAAAACCAAAATTGGTTTGAACTGGTCCAGTTCGGTTTTTGACTCAAAGTTGACTTTTTTTATCAACGCAGTTTTTTTCGGTTTTTTTTTTCATACAGTTCGATGCAATTTTATGATTTGACAGTTTTTATGCCCACCCTTAATCTAACTTACAATACAAGTATATGCGATCGAGTATAACATTATGCATGCAAATTACTAATATGTGTGCGGTCTAACGCGCAAATGTGCTTTATCTCCTGGCTTGGGTATATTTTTCGCTCCACAATTTTGCTCGACTTTTTATTTTTTATACTTTTATTACGTTACCTACTCTGCGGGTAGGTAACAAATCATTGAATATTTAAGTGAAATAAAAGGGCCAATAAATATTACCTAATACAACTTTCCATATAAAATTCAACGTAGATGGTATTTAATAACCAATTAGGTATAAAATCGAGCCAGGATTTTATTCGTTTTATTCTATTTTTAAAAAGAATCAAGATACGATAAAAATACAAAGCATGAACGTTTCATATTAAAACTTGTTTGGCAAGATCATCAAGTTGTGTATGAACATGCTAAGTTCATCGTATTTGTGCACCAAATTTGAATTCCAAATGAAATGACGTGATCATTAGTTTTTTTTTTTTAAATATAATGACCTTGGTTCTTAAATTATCTAAAATCAAATAGTTTTTTTGTTTTCCCAAAAGAAAAAAAAATTGATTTGAGCAACCAAATAATCGAACCCACAAAACCACCACGGTTCAATGTGTCACGGTGTTGACTTACCTCGTCATCAACAACAACAATCAAGTCTTATCTCACTAAATGGATTGGTTGTATGAATCTCAAAACACCACTGAGCTCAGTTTTGCGCTAAGCCTTACCTCATCATGCTACGAAATAACCACTTCGAGTCTTCAAGCATTTTAACCAACTTAGATTATAATACATCAATAGTACATTCGAGAGCGATGAATTTGGGTTAAACCACACAAGAACTTAAACCTAAGAGTTCATGCTTACAAATAACTCTCAAGCCCAACCATCTGTAAATATCAGAACCTTGTATTCCTTGGAGGAGAAGGATTTCTTCCCTCCCTTATTACTACAAATAAAGGCACTGCGTAGGGGGAATAACACATCCTCTACACAACCCTACAAACACATATCTCTCTCTCTTTCTCTCTATATTTTCTCTGTGCTGCCAACCCCCTCTCCCTTGTCAGATAAATATAAACTACAACATGTTATCAGCACGCTCCTACTGCTACGCTTATGAATCTGATGTGGAAGTTTTTTCTGCATCAAACCAGTCCATCAATATTATCACGCGATCATGTTCTTTCAAAACAACGATTTTTATCTTGATATTTTTGCAGCCCTGGTAGCATGAACATTTACCATAATGCATAACCAAACTTTACGTTTTTCAAATTTTAGATTCTACATAAATTGTGTATGCATTATATCCATAATTGTTGAATTATGTGAATTTGATATTGCCATGAATTGCATCAATTATATGTCCATGCATTAAATTGTTTAATTGAATATGCATTGAATTAATCTGGAAATTGAACAAAAAAAAATTTAGGGTTTGCCGAATAAAAAACCCGAGCTCACGCGAGCCTTCTTGAGCCGCGATGCATCGGAGCAAAACCCCTAATGCTTCATTTGAGAAGGCGACGCCGTTTTGGCATCAAACTGATGCGAAATATATAAGCACACAAATTAAACCCTCTTTTTATCAATTGTAGTAAAGTATGTAAGTAGGGATCATTCTAGGCCGGGGATTAGGAGGGATTGCTAAATCACTTGGAAACTGACTTGAAAACGTAAAAACAAAGTTTAAAACACTAACTAGACTCAAAGAATGCAAAACTATACTTTAAAACACTAAAACAAACCAAAAGACTCAAAACAGCCCCTAAACACTCAAAATTACCTTAAACACACAATCTGGGCAGTTTTGGGACTCTAACACAAACTTGGACGAATTTTGGTTTTCTAATGAACTAAAACACTTAAAAACATAATCTAAGACAAGTTCTAATTAATATGACTCAAAGAAATAAGATGGGGTTGATTTTGGACGAAAATAATTAAATTAAGACAAGAACAAAGTAAACAAATTCTTAGACAAATTTAAGTGAATCAAAACAGATTGTAAAATGAATTTGAATGAAACTTATGGATGGAAGGCTAGCTAGGAGGTTCTTCTCCACACATGTCACACTTGCATACAAAACGATTTCCAGTTGCTTTTCGATAAGCTATGAATACTCAACGCCCCAAATTAACCGTGAATTGCACTAATTAACCCTCAGTTTTTCCACAAGTTATTGGGTTGGATGATTGCATACGACAACCCAAAACATTCCCTACAAGTTCCCTACATGAATTGCATAATAGAGATACAAGCAAGAATCATTAAGTTCTATGAAAAACATAAGCATTGACGAGGCACTCGTTACTATGATTTGCATGAAACTTATGCCAAGAATTTACTTAACGTGATTGTGACTAGCAACCTTCACTACTTGTGAATATAAGTTCATAACGATTAGGTGAAACTCCTTTATATTCTAGCGTTAAATTCATGCATGAAAATTAAGCGTGCACTCTCACCCAACATACACAAATCAATTTTTTATACAATCGGATAAGTAAATTGAATTCACAACTTATGAATCACAACTGGATGTAATCAAATCATATTGCAAGTATGAACATGGTTTTGAATCACCCTCTAACTAAGAGGGGTTTAGTTCCTCATACTCACAAAGCAAAGATACATAAAATTAGACATTAAAATCAAAGGAAAGAAAACACCTAAAATGCTCCAACTTGGGTAGCAAGTGCATCCAAGAATTCTCCTTTGCTTGCTTGCGGCAGATTGCTTTGTGGACGGATTTTTGGGTAGTTTTATGATGTAGAATGGATGGGGAATGGTATGGAAAGGTTTAGGGTAAGTGTGGAGGAGTGTTTGAGGGTTGGAGGGTGGTGGAGAACTAGGCAAAGAGGGTGGAAGAAGGTGGAGTGCCTGTTATGTTTTCTAGGCACTAGAATGGTGTTTTTGGGGTGTTTTGCTACCTAGGGTGAGTATGGACGAATTTCTGTGATGAATGGTGAATATGAGAGTGTGAACCCTTTGCCAAGGGGTGTAAACATGTATATATAGGCCCCAAAAAACCTTAGAGAATCAGGTTAGGCTAGGGAGAATGCACGGCAAAGAGTGTATGTGGTGTGCAATGGTCCAAGGGTGAAAATGAAGTGATGATGCAAAGTGTGAAGGGTAAAATGGAGTGGTCTTGTAGCTAGGGGGCATGAATGATTGTGTACATTGCATAGAGATGGAAAGGGAGGTGAAAATGTGTCAATAAATGGGTCAAAGGTGCAGCAACATGTGGTACACAAGGCATGGGATTCCAAATGTGAATGATGGAGCATCAATTGATGCATGTTATGGTTGTGAAAGTTGTATAAAATTTTGTGGGTGAAGGGAATAAGAGGTATCAAGCAATTAAGTGTAATAATTAAATGAATTGAAGCATGAAATCAGAAATTATGTAGGGGACAAGAGTGATCAAGCATGGCATGGGAATCCAAAGGGAATTCTATGTTGTTTTGCATGGCAATGAAGGCAAGTTGGGGTGACAAATTTTGGGCTGAGTTCTTCATCTTTTGGACCATAATTCTTCACATTCTTGGCCTCTTTAGTTCTCAAATTCGTCCATCCACTTTGGCCCAAATATGTGACATGCATTCCAAGCTCCATTTTGCTCCAAAATGCTCCAAAATGCATCTTCTTGCCTACTTTGTCCATAAAATCTGAAAACACACGAAAATGACTTTAAACATTAAAATAACTAAGGAAACACGACATAAATGCACAAGAACAAGCCAACTAAGTTGCATAAATATGCTCCTATCACAAACCCAGCCGCCGCCTGCAGTCGGCCACCACCTCCCATTGTCTCTCTGGGACATCACGACCTGCAGTCTTGTTTTGGGACCCAACCATTGTCGGAGACGATTGGTATTTT